TGGCACCTCTCCACAACCTCACCTCTCTGCCTTACACCGTTTGACCGCAGTCTACACTATCCGCACCGCACCGCGGCGCACCGTAATGACTGCACCCTATCGAGGCAAATTCCAAGGTTCCAAGTTCCAACCCTACGCCTTGCCGCACCTTCGCTGTCAACTCCAGACCCCCCTCCCATCCAGCCCAATCCCGCCTCATCCTGGGACAACGCTTGTACGACCTTGCCTCCCCGCCACAGACAGGCCGACAGACTGACTCCCCAGTCCGGCGTTCAACCGCCGCTACTTTGGGTCGTTCCACCATCACGATGCTATCTTGGAGCTGCCTTGCCACTCTTCACTCCAGGCACAGCAAAGCAAACACCATCAACGATGCTCGGTCTCATTAACGCAGACATTGGCATTGTTCCCAGCCATCACCTGTTGTCTGCGGCACTGCTGCCCACGCCATTAACTTCGACCTCACCGCATCTATCAATGACCTCCCCGACTCGAACCGCCTCCACACAGGCATGGATCTCGAACCATTCGTACCCCTCCCTCCAGTTACCCCACCGCCAATCACTGCCGTCAGACACCAGGGTACTCCACGCCGCACCCATCTTGTCTTCCTAACCTCATACAAGTACACTCACCACCGTACGTACCTACACTATGTGTCTACGCTGCGAACGAACATACTCAAAATCCCTGCACTCTGTATGTCCGACAACACAAGGCAATCGGCTCCATGTGGTTTTTCTTTATGTCCGACATTGGCAAGAAGCAGTTCCAACCGCCATCGTCGCCTCTTTTGGTCACTATCATTGATTGCAAATGTCGTTTTTGGGTCGGTATCCTGCCCTGTCTCTTGTTCAGAATTGCTATGGGTGCTTACCGATAATCTGAACCCACTCACTCAATCCCCGCAGATTTCTGATCAAATGCCTACGGAACAGGTGCAAAATTGAGGGCCCTTGATGCCACTATTTCCAAAGTCCCTCCCACTTTAGCCAAGCAGGCAGAGAGCTACGGTGCCAATGCCGAATATTGGCGCCGTCTCGCCGAGCAAGCTTATTTATGTGCACTTGTTTGTTACAACCTCTCCACAGCGTATTCACAATCAGATATCGATAGGCACCGCAACAATCTTTGACAACGGAATAGCTCTCCAAACAATGAGTGGACAACCACCGAAGGGCAACTCGGCTTGCGTACTGACAAGCTCACAATGGCAGTGCCTTATTCTCTACTACAGAAGCTTCAATATGGCAAAACGCAATTTCCACGGTCTAAAGCCTCCGGCCGGGTTTGGCTAACTCGACGATCTCCAGGTTGCGGCGCTGCTACTGCTGCTGCTTTTCGCATCTCGATCTAACCACATCGATCTTCCCGCAGCCGCTCAGTCTGCCAAGCAAGCCCGCCTACGCGAAAGATCTCAAATCCGTGGTCGCTTTTAGCACCTTCAGTCTCGGGGTTCAGATGCGCGGTCAGCCTGCCAGGCCGGCCATCTCTTGACTGGGCTGTGCACGTCGGCACTTAGTCCTAGCAGCCAATCATGGGAACGAAGAGCGTCGGGGATTTCGCCGCCAAACCCTCCTCTCATTCCGCCGTTGCGCTGCAGCTCACCGTTTGCATGTTCATGCCAATCAGTCAGTCAAGGCCCGCTTGTCGCCCGACTGAGCACGGCACACCAACAGCGATACAAACGCACCCCTTGGTTCAGGATGACTGTGTTTACGAGCGGATCCTTGGCCAATCTTGACGCTCAAAATTGCGTCAGCCTTCTCCTCTTGCGACGACCACGACAACGACGACAGAGCATAACTCTGTCACCAAGGAATAGCTGTCTTGCCATTGGTCTTCAACACGTGACGTCCTTTTGGTCCAAGCCAACTTCCGCTGACTTGCCTTGCGGAGGGCTATTCAGTTCTCGGTATTCACCTGTCGGTTCGGGTCATTCTTTCACGCTCTTTCTGCGATCAGGTGATGAGTATCACATCATTACTCTTCAAACTAGGACACCCAAGAGTCCGTTAGAACGAGCTAAGACGTACGGATAGCTTGCCCGGACTTCGTACAGGCCTCGGTTTGCTCCGTTTGGAAGGGTGGCCCCTGTCGAGATCCGAAGTATTGGACGCTATTTGGATTTCTCTCCCGCTACTCCGTACTGGAAAGTAGGGCGTAAGGCCCCAAGTTTGACGAGCCGCCAGCTGCCCCTTGTTGGCAACGCTGAAGCACCGACAGCGTCAGTCTTTTCGGACCACATTCCATCTTTTGACTAAGCGCCTACAGCCCCCCGCCGGCGCATGGCTGAAAGCCTTCGCACCTTCTGCCGCCTTGGGTTCTGGCCATGGCTTTGGATACCAAGTGTTTGCGAGTTCCATTCCCCGTTCCGTCATTTAGGGCTGACAATGATGCATTTTCCGAACCGTGCTGGTACCGGCACCAAAGTATTGTCAGACAAACGGCCCTACCCTCCGTGAAAGGCAAGACCGCCGAGGGTCCGGGGAGCTAGTAGCATTTCCCACAGAGACTTTTAGGGCAGCCCTGCATGCCCACGTTTTGCAGGAGAGTACCGTAAACCCTCTCAGGCAGACCAGCAGTATCTCCTGGCCCTATCAGGCTGGCAGGCTGACGTCTATCTCCGTACCTGGAGGCTGGTGCGCCTTACCCAAGATGCCGGGCAGCCCAGTTCGCCACCAAGCTCCCTGGGTATTGAATGGTACAACCGAGTGTTATATTAACGAGATACGAAAGTACTAAGGTTGCGATAGATGGACAAGAAGAAACAGCCACGCCAAGGATAACGTCTGCTTGTTGTTAAAGGGAAGAGGCATGCTTTCCTAGCAGACGGCCATCGAGGAAGTCCAGGCCTGGACGTTGGCTCCCTGCGCATTTCCTTCTTAAACGTTCGTACGTACGGATACACACACACACCACCACCCTTGACAGAGCGGGGAGGGTCGTGGTCCGGGCTTTGCAGCGAGGTTTACAGCGTGCGTTGTCAGTTCCCTTTCTGGCCCATCGGCAGGCCCAAGACACCGGCGGCCGCGAGCGATCTCGGCCATCCCCGTCTGAACTCGAGTGCCCAATTCTGGGTGCGCAGTACTGATCACCTTACAACCCACGCAGTTCGGCGTGTGACGACCAAATATGGTGATTCTGCCAGGTCCTGTGTCTTCATCGGACACTACCGCTATGCCTACAGATGCAATCGTGGTAATACCGAATCTCGCCAACGAGGCCGAGTTCGCTTTTGTCCGCGGATAAGTTAGTCACGGCGGCGAAGAGGCTCCCCAGACGCTGTGATCTGGCAAAGTGTGGCCTGTGACATGCACTGGAACATGCTATTCGCCACTCATGAAGAATGATTCCAAACCGGGAGACGCGTTAATAGAAGCCAGCGTCGCTTCCATTCAGCTCGCTTAGAATCGTGCAGGCTAGCAATCAACCAGACTTTGCTTACGGTCACATTTACGCTACGCAAAGCCAGCCACCCGTTGTCCGCCACTGAAGGGAGGCGTCTGACCCTACTTGCTGCGGAGTCTTCTCCGAAGACCACCTCGCAATTCCGCGAAAGGGGAGAGTGACATTTGAGTTTTCGGAATCTTGCGCTTTCACTAGCCCTGACTGGCGCGAGACTTGTGGCAGTTGGCCATGTACGGTAAGCATGACAAAAGCTCATGCTCGCACGCTCAAAGCCCTTCCCTTCAGTGGATAGTGGCTTTCTTCGGTGCACCACTTATCAACGACTGCGCCGCGTCCGTCGATAGTCTGTTGATGCCCAGGCAGAGTCGTCCTGGAGCGTTTCGGAACGAATCGAGTACGAATACCCCGCACCGTAGGCGGTTTGATTTTGGAGCATCGGCAAGGTGGGGGTAGAACGGGGCCAATCGGCTCCGATGAGGGTTTCCCTGCTGCCCTGCAGTTCAAATCTCCACGCTGCAGCTCCAATGCTCCATACCCTGATCATGTCAACCAACGATCCAAGAACAACAACAACAACAACAACAACAACAATAACAAACGGTCAACGAGGTTGGATTCTGGAGACAGGACATGTCCCAAGCGCACGTGGGTGATGATGGTTCATCTGACGAGTCATGCAACGACTCGAACCCTCAACACATGCAAACCACATACTGATGGACATTGTTGGAACATTCATCAGCCACAACAAGACAGCTCTGGCGCGCTTGCCAATCCAAGAAGGACGAATACCTACTGGTTGGGTGCGGAATGTTGGCAAGAGCCCGTCTGCCTTTGGATAGACTAGGACGGTATGATGGCGGAAATCCAACCCCAAAGCCACCTCCTCAGCCCTACACCGTTTGGGCCTCGCTGCCGCGGCTTGCTTAGCTTCGTGCCTCCAACTTGGCGTCTGTCTGTCGGCCTGTCGACAGGGGTATCCGTACTCCCTCGTGCCCCAAGCGGAGATAGGGCGTAGATCCTGCTCGCACGAGCCACTCCAACACGCTTGCGTGGGTTCAACATGTATCTGTACGGAATACTTAGTCAGGACCCGGACAAGGCCGTGAACACGGATTTCACCAATGTCGAAGCAAAATGCTGCAGCAATAGAACTTCCTGCAGGCTCATTGCCATTCGAAAGTGACTAGAGAATAGGTACTCGGATTCTGGAGGTATGGTTGCATTTTCGACCAGGAACGAGACAGCTCTACTCATACTTTATACGTCAAGAAAGCTTCGAAACTCGGACTGACGTTTCCAAAGCCTACCTCACGTCGATCTAGCACTCACGGCCGCGAGGACGCCGATGGTCCGGCTACTTCTGTGCGTTCTGCTCTAATGAGAGGGTCTAGTTCGAATCCAGGTCGACTTGCGAATGGCGTTCGCTGGGCAGAATAGACATACGCCGCCGGGATACATGAAGATAGCGCCGCCAGATTGGCGCCGCATTACGGGGCTACCACGGACGTAACCAGCATAATTTCGACGATTTGGAAAACATTGCAAAAATACGTTAACCTTCAGCGAGGCTTATACAAGTTTGTAGCTATTCGAGCAACGATATCGAGTTGGAGGCTTGGCCTCTTGAACTGACCGAGCCGGATTGCACCACTGTGCGCGATGGCAGAAAAGCTCTTGCTAAGGACACGCAGCGCCTACATGTTCTGAATCAACATTACCGCAGGCTACACTCGGGAAGCTTTCTGGGAGGCACTTTGGACGAATCTCGTGAACCATCACTGCGTGTCCGAAGTGATGAAGTGCGTACGGATACGATTGCAAATTCAATGCAAATGGGACATATGGACAATGGCAGGTACTGAACGAACCGGGATGCCGATTGAAAGGCCCAAGGAGGACAACGACCCCAGACCAGCCATCTCGAGAACCCCAGAGCGTCGCCACTGAACCTCAAACCGCCGCCGCCAGACGCCAGTGCTTCATCGCCCCTCACAGACTGCACGTCACCAGAGCCCGCGACTCATATTGAGCATCTCCACATTTCCACCGAGAGCACCGAGATCACGGGCGGAAACACACCTCCTAATCCTATCAGACTTGGAAGGCAGCAACGCTTACCCCATTGTCAGAACTCAGAATCCTACCGAGTATGAAGAATCAACAATGAGGCTCTTTGCTACTTCTGGTATCTCAACTCGAAGCCTTTCAAGGCCTCCCTGTCCGCCCTGTGCCTTTTCAAGGGGCCTCATTGGCCATTATCATGGTGTGACACCGTTGGAGATGCAAGGCAAAGGGGCCGGACCTTGGACAGCTGGAATTCCATGCCTCGGCACATTCAGACCCAAATCCTAGGGGCCTGTGGGTTCGGACGTCCTGATAACTGGAGATTGGGGGAGAACTGGAGAATGGAAGAAGGCTGTGCAGCGCAGTGTAATGGAGCTTGATGGAGTCGCTCCGATGGGCGACAAGGCGATGGCTTCCGTATTGGAGCGACCCCCGAGTCCCGTCATCCAATGGGCCATCCACGACCAGAATGGCATGAAACATTGCCAGGCTCGCCAACCCATGCAGCCATCCCCGAAAGCCCAAGCTTTCGTCTACTGCACTGCACACATAGCGTACGATTCGACCACCCAAAAGCTCCAGTCCGTCTCCTGTGATCTAGTGTATCCTCCCATGAGTCCCATGGCACCTGTCTTGATTCAGTACCCGGACACCCGCGGGGGGAGCCTGGCACACCCATTCACTCAACTGGCAACAAAATGGAGCTTGGCTATGCCTTACCCCTTAAAGGCTGCAACTGCCGAAGCCTCGCAATTGGCGTTTAGGCGCATGACTTCCCTACAACTCAACGAAGGGGACCACGACGTTCAGACGGCATGAGCTACTTGTACACTTGATTGCGAACGAATACCTACGTACGCTGAGATCGCCCATTTTAGTCACACGCCATAGGCTAAGCATGTCTTCCTCAGACTGGGGCCTCCATGACACTTCAATAGGCCATTGAAATTCGCGCCACAGCTTCTCAGCCACGGGGTGTGAGTGCAGCCGCTAGCCTCTCCGCAAGGCTCGATGCCCGCTATACCTACCTCAATACCTACCTACCATGGCTTTCGATTCGTGTTCGAGACGAGTCACTAGGCATGGGATCAGCCGAGTCAGAATCACTATCCGTACGGATACAGAGTAGATGGCTTTGGTGCCCAAAGCTCCTGTAGAACATAAGCACACCGAAAGAAGAAAAAAAACTCACCTCGGTGAGAACGAAGCTCATCTCTACTCCATACCTCTCTGTGCCTCCTTGCACGCCAACGGGTCTTCTTACCCACTTCGACTCTATCCATGGAGAATTTCCGTTTTCTGCTCTCACGGTGTGCTGACACGATATCGAAATCTCAACAGTCAATCCTATAATGCAAAAGAGAGTCGAGGTTTAACGGTTCAAACTTCCAGGTCTTGCAAGCCCCAGCTAAGGATCCAAGACAAGCAATGGGAATCAACAATCCCAATGTCCGTAGGGCATCAGACCCCCCGCCGATCTTTGCTGTGGGCCGAACAAGATCTGCCATTCTAGCGGCCAAGCTCAGATTGCTCAAGAGCGCGTGCGGTGTCTACACCCTCTTCACCTTGAAGCGATCCAATGATGGAGAGGCAGAACTTCAGACGGACGATGCTAAGGATGCTGAGCGAAGAGAAGGCGGCACCAGTGCTGTTCTTAGCAACGGTCCATTCCCTATGTGAGTGGTGCAGCGCAAGCAATGTGGACTTGAGAAACACAATGTGCTCCGGTGCTGTCTCGAGTAACAGTTCTATGGATACGGACGCCTAGAATAGCGTGGGCATCTTAGTGCAACGATCGACTCCACTGCCATGGACAGTAAGCAGGCTGCAGGACGCTATCCCTCGGGAACAATTTCAAATCTGCCTCCCGAACTGCGCTTCTCCTAAGCTCAAGTTGTGGCAGAAGCCAATCAAAAAATGACTGCCTCTGGAGGTATCGGAGAAGCACAACTCTATTGCGGGGGAGAAACAGAACAGGCACGCTGGTTATCCACACAACCATCATTCTCGGCCGTATCGTTCGCGTTACGCTCACTAGGCGCCATAATCACTACATGCCATCAAAGGCTACAGCCGTCTCAAGTCAAGTTACCAAGCCAAGACCACGATTCACCTTTCCAGCTAGCACCTGACTAAGTACTCGAGTGGTTTGTCACCACATCGCTGGGAGCTGGGAGCTGGGAGCTGGGTGGCACAGGTAGCTAGATGTCATGGCCACGATGCCTCGATCGAAGACAGGGCCGCGTGCCCAAGATCAAATTTTCTTCAACGGCGATGACGTTCAAGGGCTGGTGACGACTGTGGCGCGAACTGCAAAGTGAGGGTTGGGCTTCAGGACTGTTGGTTCATGACTGCTGATTTCAGAGCGAGTTCTCTAGTCGTTTAGCGACCATGCCAAGGGCCCAATTCTTTGGGCACTGCTTCCAATATCCTACTTTGAACCTGGTCTTCAACTCACCTACACTTGGATGCCAAATGTCGCGGCATAGCTCAGGCAATGGAAAGAGGGCAGTGTTTCCCTGCGATGTCTAGCTGCCCATCGATCGGTCGCAGGTCCAGATGTGTGCGGACGTCCCATTCACCTCCGGCCTGGTCCATTCGCATGATGGCTTGGGGTTGCTGAAAACCGGCACGCCCGCATCAGGTTGAAGAGCAACCCGGACGACATCTCGGAAGGTGGGTGCGGGCGCGGAAGAGGGTCCTGTATTTACATCACCATCCTTCCGGAGAAGTTTCCAGGTCCCCAGGTAATCAATCACCTGGCTGCGTGGCGTTTGGATAGCGTTCCCGATACGCCGTGCCGGCGTCGTCATCCTCCTTTGACTGGCCGTCATTCCAGCGAGCAGAGTCATCGACAACAGGAAGGGACAGTCCCGTGGGGCGGTGCTAAAGCTTAATCTCTAACCCGTCGTGCCCGCCAGGATGGTCATGGTTTCTGCTCCATGGTTTTTGCTATGGAGGGTGCGGAAGAGAGGCAATAACAGAACACTGCTAAAGGGTGTTGGCAGTTCGACGAGGACTATCGAGCCTTTCCCTGCCGGTTTGGTTGCCATTGTCGAACTGATAAACACCATCCACTTGGACGAACACGGTAGCCCTGCGATTTCGATGTCTTGGGCCCCTGGTTTACAGTATCTGTCCGTCTTGTAAGAGGTTCGCCGATTATCCAATCGCCCACCAAAGCTGCCAGGCAGTCCCAATCAACTTGCTTCGTCGGCGCCTCTGTACATACATCACTAAGTACACAACATGTCAGTCTAGGCCGCCACGACAAGCCACGCGACATCTAGCTAAAGCCCTGCGAGTAAAGGGAAATTGCCGCGGGCAATACCTAGCTGAGACAAGAGGTAATCCGAACCGACTCATTACACTCTCAGCCCACCGAGGCATCGTTGTACCTAAGCCAGGTCCAGTCTCACTCTGTGTCCCATCTGATAGCCGAATTACCTATATCTCCATGAATAGGACTCCCGCAACGTCGTACTGTTGCAGCGGAGAACGCGAAAACGTAGGCATGCACGATCATCTCAATTCCACAAGTCCAGGCAGCTTATCGGAATCCCAAACAATGCCGGTTGGTAGTCAGCCCGATGAAATACAAGACATGCGCGCCCTGCGGTGACCGGGCGCTACGGTCTCATCCTGGGACCGAAGACCTGCAAGCAGCCGCGAGTACCTACGGATACAGGGCTGAACAGACAGCGACCAGATATCGCCGGGTATGGATGTGGCGTTGCCCTTTCCGGCGACATGCATACACATGCTGACACGAGACAATGCGACGGCAGCACATTGTGGACTAAGCCGGCCGGCAAGGCTCGACTTTGAAGTAGAGTACCACGAGTACCATCAAAGTGGCGTGCTGAGAAGGATGAAGGCGCACCGTTGCTTGTATCCATGTCTCAGACGCCTGAACACTAACGGTCTAGGTATTCCTTTCTTTCTCTTTGTATGCCCCATTCCCTGATGCATTCTACGCCGCTGCTCAGCAGAGCTACTGGCATTACATGTACAGCAGGCCGACTTGTCATGACATCTAGTTGGTCTACGCAGTCTGCAAGACGGCCAGCGAGCAAGGGGCGGGGCCATGCCCGCTGTGTCGGTAACTTCAACTTCCTTCACGAACCACCTCCCCTCCATTATGACCTCTTCTGCTGCCTACGGCGGTCATATGACTCAAAGGCGTACAATTGATAGTTGCCAGGATTATAAGCTGTCATCTTCGAAGCATCCTTTGTTTACTGGGATAATATCAGGCAAACAGCTGGCGGTGAAGAATTGCAGCCTTGGCCGCGAAAACACCAACGTCCCAACATGGCCTGCAAGGCCGAGGCAACCTGCATTCGCAATTGCTACGACTCAGGTTGCGCCGTGAAGACTAACTCATGCGCGTCGTCACGATTTTGAAGCCCAAGGTCTCGCAACTCTAAGGCACGGCATAAATGCTCCCATTGTCAATACGCCAATATCTCTTGCGGCGCATGCAGACGCCCGTCGATTCCCCCTCCCCTCTCATCTGACTCACACTTGATCCAGTTGCAAGATCATAACCCCAGCCACCATTCGCTCACTTGGCCATATTATGCGAGGAAGTCAGACATAACAGCACGAGAATCGCGAGGGAATCTTCGCATTGCTTAGGCCTACCTACGTACCTACCTACCCGTCTCCCTTGGGATGCGGCCGCTAAGGCCTGACAGCATATCTCCCCGCTCCGTACCCCTCTCAGCCGTCACTCAGCAGGAACTGTGCCGTTCAGGTGCAGCATCGATTACGGTACAATAGACGTGTCCACAAGATCCTTTATTCGTCTTGGTGCGTATTTGGACCAACGAAAAGATGAGGAACTCAGTCCTTCCGTGGACTAGCATTGAGGGGAAACGTTTTGAGTAGCCAGAATCCGCAGCCAACGGATAGGCGGTTCGACAACATCGACTGCAGCTCCCTCCGGAACGATGGAATGGCCCGCGGCGTTTATCGGTTTTCGAATCTGTCAGATGGCACATGGCTTGCTCCGTGACGGCCAGCTGCGAACTCCTACTCTGCACTTCATGCGCATCAGAGTAAGATCCTTGTAGTATAGTAGCAAAATCTGCAGCTTATCTTGGGGTCCTATTTCCACCGGCATCATCGAAGCCATTATTCAATGCTACAAGCTACGATAGAGGCGCCTCACTCATATCAGCCTTGCGTCTACTAAGATCTGCACGGTTGGTTCGCTCTCTCCAACGGCCCTCGGACATTGACGTCCTCCCCACGCTACCTGCCACACAAGCGATCCGGCTTGCTACGCCTCGTGCTGAAAGGCTCTTTCGTCGCTGTAGCGAAGCTTGCATCGGATGGGGGCTATAGCAGGGATTATCAACTGTGCCCCGGGCATATTTCGTACACACTTTGTGATCTAAAGGCGAATACACGCTGTGATGAGAGACAGGCATCGAGGAAGCGGTGTGTCGGCCGTATGGTTGTCCGGTAGGTTCACAACAGAGCCTCCGGAACACGAGACGATGCCAAGGTCCGTACGGAGGTGAAGCTAATCTTGTGGCCGGTCAGGCTTCCGAATCAGTCGGTCGTCCGCCGGGCGAAGCGGGGCCCGTACCGAGGTGTCGGTTTTAGCGGGCACGGGGGCAGGCGTTCGGAACTTCAAACTGGCACGCGGAGTGATACCACTTGGTCCTGACAGGGCTGATAGCTTGGTCGATTTGACTCTTTCCGAGTTGTTACTCTTTACTTGAAGCTGATCTGCTGCCTTTCGGACCCATCCTATCAGCATCGCCACCCCCGTTGTCTCGATCAGTCATTTCCTCAGCAACAGACGACTATTTGGGAATGCTGCGTCACTTACTCACTCAACATCCGACATCAAGCCCACCTTGACAGTCGCAAGAGCCTACATAACAAGTACGGAGTACGGGTTGAGGATTTCGCAGCATCAGTGGCCTTGGGTACAACGGCACGAACTCCCGGTGAATGGGACCTGGTTTGGATATGGGCCCCCACTTCACTACCAAAGAGGATAACTTTCCAAAGTCCAAAGAGTTTCGTCATTCTCGTGTCTTGAGGATAGGCATCAGCACGTCTTTACCAGCATTTCCAATAGTTCCGGGGCTCTGCTGCATCTAGATCCGCGGCTGAAGCCTGGCCACTGCGTGTAACCCGCATGGCGTTGTGCGAAGTCGAGGGTCGTTACACTCAAATTGTCAGCATTGTGAAGAAAAATTAAAAATCGGCACGGCTTCTTCATCGGGACACGGAGCGAGGACGGAGGGAGTGCCCCATTCGGCAAGCGCATGGAAGCGGTCTAGAAGGATTTCGGAAGTTTGCGTGGCCTACCCGCCTGGCTGCCTGTCATCAGCTCATGTCGGTGATCCCTTCCAGTCAGCATTTAGTTACCGGCTTTTTCAGCTCTCGACGCTTAACCTGCGTGGAGTTGAACAAGATCGCTTCCAAGTTGCGCGAGACGTCGTGCCACCATCACGTACCACAAAGTGGGTATACGAGTACAGAGGCCCAAGAATGACTAGCCGTATATGAAGTCTACGACGTTGCATGACAAGGTCGCGCAGTTTGACTCGCTGTCGAGAAGCCTTATTGGGCACGACAGGCGCGTCGACGGTGGTCCTCAGTAGGAGACTTTTGGTTGGATCGACGGCGATGATCTGCCGTCCTGGCCCCAAAGCCCAAAGGGCCCCGCGGTAGCACCGGGCGAGGGGCATGACTAGGACAAAAACCGAACAGGGCCATGCCTCGGGTTCTGAAGTGTGTAAT